ATCACAGACATGCTCAAATCTTAGAGAAATGTAGAAACACCCCAGACATGTCAAATGGCAAAGCTTGGACCAAATATGCAAACTGATTTTCTAACCATAGCAGTACCTAAATATATATATAAACAGACCATTTTTAAAGAGTTTTAAAGCAGCCATTTATTTCAAAGGGACACAATTATGATCTATGAATTTGTTATGTCTTAGTGTATTTCCTAGTTAGTTTGGGAAAATGGAAGTGGTTTGCTTTATATTGTGTGTTTGATTTCTTATTTTGTCAAAGTCTATCTTCTTTAAGATAACTTTATTAAATATGTCAGTGAACATTTTCTCTAAACTTCTATAAGCTGGGACAACATGTCAATGAGGATAATGAAGAGGTGGGTGTCATGTAGATCTGAGTATAAAACCAATGCGATGCTAAAAGGCCCGTGTCACATTGAAAACGTGACTTGATTTTTCTAAGCCTCAGGTTTCTTTAACAATTAGAGTACTAATCTATTATTGCTTAGGGAACTGGATTAAGTATTAATGTAGGGTCAATATTTTAAGCACACTGTACAAACTCCCTTCTCATAATAAGTTACTCTTCCAATCTGTGTTTCTACCTGAAGAGTAAGAAACTGGAAATGTGGTCAGATGCTTCAAGTCACTGAAATATTTGGGCCTAAAAAATAGAAGACCAACTTGCTTTCTTTTTTGAATTAGTCAGTTATTTTAACTCGATAATTTTCTTTCTGTGATTCCATAGTATTTTTTATAACTCTGTACAATTACTGAGATGAAAGCTTATTTTTGTGTTGGTAAGTTTGTATATTTTCTATTGAATTTGCGTATTCTTTAGAAGACTGATAAAATATGCTAGATACATCCCACAGTGTTTTATAATGCAAGTATATATTTCATTTTTTGTGCATTTGACAATTTTGCTTACAATAAGCAGGTTTTAGTTTAACTTTTATAGAACTTTCATATTGTTGAATTTTAGTCAGAAAAGGGCAAAGCAATATGATGAATATACTCTAAATACTAGAGTTGAAAATTCTTATTTAAAGCACACACATTGATTTTGCTATTTTCCTTAAGCAAGTTAGGTTTAATTCCTCATTCGAGCTTTGTAATGAAAATCACTTGAAACATTTTTCTTTATAAAAATAATGCACTTGAATATTTGTAAACAGCATACTGTGCTTGAGAAAACTTGGAAGATTGAACATTTTACAGGTTTATCCTTTCTTTTTAAATTTTTATCTATTCTTTGAAAGTTTCATGCATTTATATAATGTATCTTGATCACATTCATTCCTCAATCTAACCCTCAACTACCCCCCACCAGAATCTCTCCATATCTCCTTCCCAATTTCTTATTAACTTTTATATTTCTTTACTTATTTCACCCACTAAGGACAGGTAGTCCTGCCCATATGCACAGTGATGTTAAGACATTCACAGAGGCTTGAAGAACCTATAAGTGGCTACATTCTAAAGCAAAATTGTTCTCTTCTCTCTCTCTCTCTCTCTCTCTCTCTCTCTCTCTCTCTCTCTTCCTGTTCATCTGTTGTCAATATCTGCTTAGCTGGGGGTGGGTCTTGGGAGCCCCTCTCCAATCAGCTTCATCTTGAGTGGATTTTGTGTAGGGAACAACAGCTGTTGTGAATTCATGTATGCAACAACCATGTCATGTCCAAAGATCAGCATTTCCCAAAACTCCTCCCCAACCCCCAGCACGTCCATTCTTCTGTAATGTTCCCTGAGCCTGGGGCAGAGAAGGGTTAATACAAATGCCCCAGGTATGGACAAGCACTCACAGTCACTTATTCTCAGCACTTTAAACAGTAACACTTCACTGCATTTTCTACTACTCAGTGCAATAAGTTCTCTGACCAAGGTTGAGAACAGGACAAATTATGAATATAAATATGAATATTTAGAAGGCAGCTTGACATGACCATCTAGTAAAACAATGCAAATACTTTTAAAAAATATTTTATTTATTATTTTATGTGTATGAATGTATTGCCTGCATGTAGGTAAGTGTGCCCGTGTCATGCAATGCCTGCGGAGGACAGAACAAGCTGTTGGATCCCCTGGAACTAGACTTATGGACAATTGTTAGCTACCATGTGGGTGCTGGGAATTGAACTCGGGTCCTCTGCAAGAACAGCTAGTGTTCTTAAGCACTAAACCAGCTCTCCAGCCTGCAAATACTTTCTTAATGTGGACAATTATGGTATACTGTGGATACTTTTAGGCATATTGTCTAATCTTTAGAATAATAAATTCCAAATGAATGATGGGAGTAATGATGGCCTATTGATGGACTCATATAAGCAATAGCCTGGACTTGGGGAACTGTGGAGACATCCCTGGACTGCATGATTTATAAGGTGATAAATAGATAACAAAGATCCACATCAGAATAGTTGGAAATGTTAAGAAAAATGTTAGGATAACTTCTGATTGAAATGTTGCAGAAAACCTACATATGAAAACTTTCTTGCATGAAAATCAGAGGGCTATTCCAGCTCTCTGCTTCCTTCAATCCCATTCATTTCCACATATTTTTCTGTTTTTGTTCTTCCTTCTCAAGGTTAATTCAGGATGTCCTTGCATGGGCTACCAGTTTATTTACAGTTTCCCAAGAAGCTACAAGCTATTGTCTTATAGTTTTATATAGTTTAGATCTATGTCATGCTATGTTTTGAGAAATAAATCTTACTATAAACAATAAAACGACTGCACAATTATCATTATTTATAACACTTAAAAATGTCTGATGAACTTGTCTAATAAATATTTGATGAATGCTAAACAAATGAAGCCATTAAAGAAAACAGAACTTCAAGTTAGCTTTTCACAGTTACATAGATTGTTATGGAGTGTTTGAAATGGGTAAAATATGTCTTAGCAGTTAGAATATGAAAATATTGCCCTCTAACTGACCTCTTCTGGAGCACTTGATTTAGTTATGTTCAAAATCCTAATTTACCATAAAGGCATAAAAAGATAGATGTTCTGCTAGATCTAGGGAGTGGGTCAAGTCAGAAGGTCTTTCCTGGTTATATAGAACTTGAACTAGACCTTGATACATCAGGAAGTATTTGCTATATAACATAGAGACAAGCTTCTTCAAGTAGAAGCCATGCCTTGAGCATAAATCTTAGGGTTTATAGAATAAATGAATAGTGCTGGGAGATAAAAGGAAAGAACTGTGTCAGATCATAGCTTTTCAATATTTTTGTTATGTGTCATTTGGAATTTTGGTTATGATTATTTATTTTGTGCTTGAAAATATTGCTTTGGCTGGGTTGGACCTTATAAAACCTTGCAGAGACTGAACTTGGCAAATACCCAAGCTGGTTAGGAGACTGTGAAAATACTTTGCTTCAGGGGCAGAGAAAACAATGAATTTGTGGGTGAAAATAATAGGGACTAGTGTCTAGTTTGTTAACATGGAGGGAAAAGGATACATTTATATTTACTGAAATAGTGAAATTTTGAGTAGATAGGGCCAAGTATGGAGAAAAGCTGTCTTATGAACTGCCTAATTTTTGACAGTAGAAAAAGAATATAGAAGGATGAAACTGATGATTTATAATTAAATGTATACCTTTAGTGTGCAGTCATGCTGGATAAAATAAATTTAATGGAAGTAGCCTATAGATATGAAAGCTTAGAAATAGAATGTAGGCAAGCACTTATTTGATATGTGTGCAAAGGAGTCAGTTATAGTTCAGATATCCCTTTTGTACCACCTACGCTTTTGCTTGCTTTTTCTGTATGTATTCCTATAATTTTGGAATCTACATTGGTGGCATGATTTCATCCACACAAGTTTTCAATGCTTCATTCTGTTGCTCACCATTATTTCCACGATGTTTTGAATAATCTGTGACCAACTAAGACTCCAGGCTGTGAATTTTGCTGCATGGCTTGGTGAATAGACAAACAACTTCTCTGTATCTGATTTCTGTTGGAGTCAGTCACTTGTGATTCTGAATACACACTGGAACATAGTCAAATGATGTCTCTGGATCAAGAACCAGTGTATTAGAAGCAGTGTGTCCTTGAGGAAAGACTGTGGACTAGGGAGTCAGAGACTTCAATCTTAATTGCAGTTTATACTATGTGAGCCTGAGTTGTCATAGCTGGTATGGTAACATGTGAGTCACCTAAAGAATTGCTTGGAATATTTAAAGTGACATATGAAGTGGATTGCACAATACATCATGCTCGTTAAATGCTAATTTAGTCTTTATTTATGAAGATTTAGCTAAATGACTTGATTTTTATTATGATGAGAATATCCATAGTCTAGCTTGGCCTTAAAATTTTTTAAATGCTGTACCACAAAATGAGACATTGTATTTGTTAAAAAATCTAAACAAACTGAAATCAGAAGTATCTTTTAATATCATTTTTTCTTTTCATTCAATACTATAAATTATTTCTTTATATACATTTTTATGTGTACGTTTGCATGTATGCAAGTGCACCCCTGGAGTTACAAAGTGTTGTTAATCACCATGTGTGTGCTGGGATTGGAACCCAGTTCTTCTGCAAGAACAGCCAGTGCTCTTAGCTGCTGAGCCATCTCTCCAGTCCTCTCTGTTTATATATTATTTGAAGATCAAGGCAGACCCTGCACTTAACAAGAATGTACTATAGACTTTCTTAATCAAAATAAAACATAATTCTGAAAACTAATAAATGAATTCAGATAAATTATAAGATGACATCAGGATCATTTGGGCAAAAATATTCAGCTAAAGGAAATGCTACATTTCAGTGAAAAAAAGCATAATAACATTTGACAAAAATATTAAACATAATTTGTTTCTCACTTGTACATCTTCCTGCTATTCACACGGGGGAAATAATGGGGCTGATTGCAATCAAGACTGTCTTGTGAGACTGAAAAAGAGAAGCAAGTTCTGGAACTTTCTGCTTCACATTTTTTGAAGTGAAGATTTTTTTTTTTTTTTTTGGTCTTTGTTTTATAGATTTACTTACGATTCTTGGACTACGAGATGCAGAATTCAAACGAATGCAAAAGGAACTTCGTGGCTGTGTATGATGGAAGCAGCTCGGTGGAGGACTTGAAGGCCAAGTTCTGCAGCACGGTGGCCAATGATGTGATGCTACGCACAGGCCTCGGGGTGATCCGTATGTGGGCAGATGAGGGCAGTCGTAACAGCAGGTTTCAGATGCTCTTCACATCCTTTCAAGAACGTAAGATTCCCTCACTTGACTGTCCTTCGGAAGCATCCTAGGATACAGGTCTCAATAGCTGTTAATGGGGTTTTCTTCTTGCAGCCTGGGCACAGCAGGGTGTTCCATAATAAGTTAACACTTCTGAGATGCCTTTTCCTTCAGTTTGATCCACTGAGAAGTTCTAGCGATATAGTACATTTGGAGGACTTACTTCAATGTATGCATCGTTGCTTTGCTTAAGCAAGGGCACTCTCTTTTGCTGGAGATTTTGGTTTAGCTCTTATAAAACAAAAAGTGGCACAGCAGCTTCTGAAGCGGTTTGAGCTTAAATAGTAAAAGAATGAACAAAGAAATATTTTGTAGTTTAACTCCTGCAAGCTTGCTTGCCGTCCCCCTTAATTTGAATTCATCAGTGACCGTAGTGCCACCAGTAATCTAAGGTAAGAGAGAATTGCTTGGGAAGACAGAACAGAAGAAAATTCAGAAAATAGTAATATGATGATGGATAAAGTTACTGCAAAATACAACAGTTTTAGAAAATCATACTTCAACAAATAATGAGATGTATAGGGGATGTATTGGGATATTCATAAAGAACTTTATTTCGTATTTCAAATATGTATTCAAATGAAAAAAGAATCCCAAGAAATTCAGCTTTAAAAAATAAGACCCTTGTATTTTGAAATTGTATTTTTGTTTAAATGGAAATGATAAAAAAAGTTTTGCTGTTTCAAGGACATCTCAGTGTCAGTAACACAGTGGTCAATATTCCTTTAATTGGCAATTCCTAATTATTTATACAACTCTTATATAACAAATACATAACTTTGGCTTTAAACTACTCAATTGGGGAATTCCAGGACACCAGGATCCTTGAATGTCATTTCATCTTTCTAAATAGTAACATGGTCTACAAGTGAGTTAGCTTTTTTGCCAAGATTTGAGTCAAATTTAAACGTGTTGAAATCCTTGTCTTCATTTCAGTGGTTGATTTAAATGTTGGAGGTCTTGGTTCTTTATTTCATTAAGGTATTTGAAAATATTCTCACCATTTTTTCTTGATTAGAATATGAAGACATTCTTAGTGAAGGATAACATTTTTGATATTTCTTTACCAATTGCTCAGCTACATTCAGTGTAATATGATTAAGGTGAGAGGTGTCAAGAAACTGCATTTTAAAAGTATTAGTTACTATTTGAATTCATTGCAAAATACAGTTGACATTAACTCTGTGATCTTAATCAATTTGACCTGAATACTTTCTTTTTTGTCTTTTTGAGACAGTGTCTCTCTGTAGCCCCAGCTGTCCTGGATTCACCAATGAGACCAGGCTGGCCTCGAACTCACAGAGATCTGCCTGCCTCTGCCTCCTGAGTGCTGGGATTAAAGGCATACGCCACCATGCCCAGCCTGAATACTTTCTATTATTATTTTGATTGACATAAAAAGTTATATATTTATCACGTATGACATGCTATTCTAGAGTATATATCCAATATAGAATGGTTAACACTACCTGACCATGATATATTTTGTTCTTGAGAACACTGAAAATGAATATTAAGTATTTTTACTGCAAAAGGAAAAACTCAGGTAATATGCATGTTGATGAGCTAATATTTTATGTTATTGTATGACAGTTGTTTAAATCCTATCATTAATTTTTTGTGTGTGTGTCTGTGTGCATGATCTGTGCATGTGAACATGCATGTCACAGCATACTTGAAGAAGTCATGAGGACAACGTTGTGGAATCAGTTCTTTCCTTCCAGGGATCAAACTCAAGTCACAAGGTTGTGTGGTAGTGGCAAGACCCTCTTTAAATGCTGAGCCATCTCACTAACCCCCCAGTGTGATGATTTTTTTCAGTGTTTTTTTAAGTTTTGGATAATAACTTACTCAGATTTCCTACCTAATTTAAATTGCAAAATTATGGAATCATAAGCTATTTTATTTTTAAATTATATGAAAATCTGCAATTTTATCTACTTCAGTATAAAATTTAACAAGGATAAAAAATATATTGCTACATTTAAATCACCAAATAAATGATAAACTTCAAGATTTCATTTTATTCAAATGTAATATGAACCTGTACTTTCATTATATGTGAAAATGTATTGAACTGCATAACTAAGAAATGGGCAATAATTGTACAAAGATGACATCAAGCTCATGGAATGACCCAGTGATCAAAATAAAAATCACATAGTTCACTCTTTGGAATTTCCAAATAGAAACTAATCAGCTGGAAATGCTTGAAAAGATTCAGGGCCTTCCTAAGTTATGATAAGTGCCAAAGAAAAGAAAAGCTGTCTTAAAGGTTTCCTGTTGTTATTGTTCTTGTTCAAAATTTGATAACTACTTAGGATATCTGGTGTGGTACGAGTTAATGCCTTCAAGGTAAGATCATTATTTGAAAACTATCAGAATACTTCTGAGTACAATTTAGGAGAACATGAAGGATGAGTTAGAATAAGTGAACAAATACTGTTAGAGGATATGATTGTTCAACAAACAAGGTTGGTCTTGGAGACATGTATGTGGGAAAAGAGGCAAAAGCAGCTGGCATCTCAGATCCCTTTTAACTCTAAAATGGATATTAAATTCTAGAAGTCTCTATAAACTTACATTAATTTTAAGAATGGTGCATTATATCATACTATGCACCTATCACACAAGTCTAGTTAAAAGAAAATGTAGCATTTCACTTTCCATGACTACGAACTACTGGAATCATTCAGTGAACAATCCATAGGATACAGGATGCTCTGTCAGCATAGGAATAAAGGCCACCAAGCCCATTATGTTTCTGCATTATATGATGGCTACTCTACTATGATGATGAATGATCAGTCTCTGATTCAAATGTTCAGTAGACTCTCACTAAATATTTGGTGTATGTTCTGAGTTATGTTTGCTACTATGCTGAATATACTTCATTGTTGCTCAAAGTGTGGTCACTTTGTCAAGCAAAGTTGGGTGATTTCAATAAATCCTTTGAAATGTTTAGTTGAAAATTAAATAACCACTGTTATTCAATTAGGAGGCAGGGTCTTTCTGAAATGATTAGATTACGAAGGCAGAATCTTCATGAATGGACTTCGGTCCTAAGGACAGTGTGCTGAGAGAATGACTCTACCCCTATCCATCCAGGGAAAATATAGTGGGATGGTTCCATCTATGAACAGGATTGTAACCTGACACAGAATCTGTTGATACCTCAATCTTGAACATCCTAAATTCTAGAATTGTGCAAAACCAAACACCTCTTGCTTGTAAACTATCAAGAAGATGGTATTTTGCTTTAGCATCCTAAGTAGATTAACTCATTTCTGAAGATTTTTCTCATGGTGTTTTGCTTTCCTTCATGGATTAATATTGTTCAGAATCCTATCGTGTTCTACTAGTGTGAGAAGTCGTCGGGCAGTGAGACGTCTTGAGAGGCTGCTTTGTTCATTAGAACCATGGCATACCAGATAAGATATGGTGGCATTTTAAGAAATCACGGAGGGGAATTCAATTTTAGAAAAGGACAGTTTAAAAACATCTTACAGTTCCTATGTAGGAAACAAAATAACTTTATTGATAAAACTTCAGTTTCCTCACCTGGCATTGCTTTATCACCATAGTCTCCAGAGAAAATTTGGAATTGCATTGTTAATATTAATGGTGACCTGGTTGTTATTCATAGTGTATTATTCTGTTATTTTGCTTCTAGTAACACAGTATATATAAACTGTATATATTATATAGAAAAAATGCAAATTTGGGTTTAAGACTATTGAGGTATAGAGTCTAGGGCTACTATGGTGATGGTTGAATTGCTGATAGAACGCCCAAATTTGCACATAGCATCATATGGCAATGGATTGCTCTGTGTGTGTGTGTGTGTGTGTGTGTGTGTGTGTGTGTGTATGTGCCTGAATATGTGTGGGGATATGTGTGTACATGTAAGTACATGGCTGCTGTCTCTTGTCTTTCATATGGAGCCACCCCTAGATTAAAAGATGTAGCTCCTTCCTGATGATGACTCTTTAACCATTAAACAACTCTCAAATACTCCTCTCCTAAAAAACAGCCAAAGAAATCTCCATCCTCCAAATACCTCACCATACAAAATAAACCCCAGCATGTGTGGGCAAAAAGTATTCAAATGATAGCTATAAATATATAAAATGTTTATATCACACAGTATATGAATGTAATTGTATGCCTAAACAGATGTATGCCTAATAATACACATACTTACATGTATAATACCCAATATATGTTTTATCTGCTAATAGTCTTAATATTGAGACTTTCATCCCCAACTTAATAGAATAAAGAGAAAGGACCTCTTGAGGTAGGACCTGTTGGGGTACAGTCCTCAGAGCTGACAGCAGTCTCTTTATAAAAGAACCTTCTGTAGGGCCCCTTACTCTCTCCCATATGGGGTGGAATGGGAAGTCAGCTATGACTAAGCAAGTGGGTTATCTTCAGACACTGACTGTTGGTGGCTTGATGTTTGACTTTTCAGCCTCCACAACTGTGGGAAATATATTTTTGTTGATCATAGACCACCCAGATAATGATATTTTTTAGGGGTCCCAAGTGGATTAAAGGAGTGAAAAGAAGTTTTAGAAATTATCTTTCCCAAATCTTCACATTTTGTAAGTCTAAGAAAAACCAGAAAATGTCTAGAAAAGATAATCTCCGCCCTTATACATAATTAATTATGAGTAGAACTGAAGCAAGAATTGAATGTCTGGAGCTAGGCATGGTGGTGTACACCTTTAGTCCCATCACTTAGGTAGGTAGAGGAAAGTGGATCTCTGTGAGACCCAGGCCAGCCTGGTCCATAGTGAGTTCCAGTCCAGCTGTGGCTACTGAGAAACTTTATCTAAAAATAACAAAAACAAAACCCCAAACAAATAAAGGACAATAAAGAATTGAATGTCTGAGTCTTAATTGAACTAGACTGCCTATGAGGTGCTCTGAACTAGGCTTCCCATTTTTTAAAGACAACAACGACA